ACAGTTTTCTCCTTGTCCACCAAATATCCCTTGTGAAATTCTACCAGGAGACTTCTAATAGTTATCTATTTTCTGTCACCCAAAAGGAACACACCTTTATCTAGAGGAGGAATGTTTTTGTGTTAAACAGAGTGAACAGGTGACATCCAACATAAGAAAACTTCAAAAAGACACCAGGCTTAGGAAAGAAGCCTCTTCCCTAAGGGGAGGATCTTCAGTGCGCCCTCCCATAGATACTGCCCTTCCTAGGACCCTCAACCACTGTATTTCTCACTCTCCTCTTTGGACCTTGCATACTGAATTTTATTGCTAAATTTGTTTCTTTTCATTTAGACAAAGCCATTAAATTTCAACTCTTTCTTTTTCTTAGAATCAACCACCAACCAGTTCAGCACTAGTATTAGAAAGACCATTTCCCAGCATTCTTACAACAATGGCATTAAAGCATGGGGTCCATATTCAAAATAAGTACACTTTGTCCTAGTCCTTTATTTTTCAATATACCCATCACTCATTGGTTGAGCAGAGTCTGTAGTCTCCCTGTTTCTTTTGTTGGGATGGGGTGTGGTTGTTCAGGTAGGTAAACAAGATTAGTAAGCCACAGAAAAGAGCCAGAACCTGGTCAGAACATTGAGAGTGGGAGAAAATAATTGTTGAAGGTTCAGAAGGCTCATCACTAATTATGGGTTTTGAAGTAAGAAGTGGCCTAATGATTTAAGAGGGTGTTTTGCAGGGATGAACATATAAAAGCATTTGCAAGAAGTAGTATCTGCAGTATCAAGGAAGTTTGGAAAAGGTAGGGCATTCAATGTCTATGCTGGCCCTTAATATGTAGGTGAGGGCAGACAACTAGCATTACAAATGGTTTAAAGAAAAAGTAATTATTTTGTCCTTTTAAGGTTCCAAACCCTTTATTTTTAAAATGCTACATTTCAATCTTTGTTTATTTTGTTCAATCTGTACTAGTCTATGTATTCCAATGTTATCACTTGCTTCTGGTATCTCATGATGCATCATTTAACAACTTTGGTCCTCAATGTTCTCCTCTGCAAAATGGAGACATTATCTGCCTCTATGAGTAACAATTTTTAGTGGCATGCAAGAGAAAACAATACTTTCTAATCTAAGCAGAAAACTATTTTATAAAAGGACATTAAATAAAAATCAAAATCAACAAGCAACTACAAACCAGAGACACACTAGGGGCGGGGTGGGGGAGTAGAGAAGGAAGTAGGATCAAAACAAGGGTGTTGGGAATTGTACAGGGACTATAACCAAGATGAAAATGCACACATTGTACAAAAATGAAAAATGATGTAAAATATATATAAAATTAAAAAACTAAAACTTGAAAAAATAAATTTAAAAAGGACATTGAATCTCTCCCAGGAAAAGGAAACCTAAGTTTGAATATTATACAAATTATGACAAAATCATAGTGCATCCCTGGTGCTCTGGAAGCATCTCTGCACCAGCACTGGGCGCAGGCACTGATGCTTTTGCTGAGGATGATTACTCTGCAGATGTGGCTGTAGTGCAGCCACTTCCCCAGCCAGATACATTTTGTCTGACTGGCACGGCCTAGAGCATGTGTCTGTATCATATGTGTATTGGAGGAATAATTGTCAGCAATGTACTTTTTATAGCTTCTCCTGGATGCCATAGGTTCTATCTCACAGGAGAGGGGAGAATCTCCAAACACAGGAACACAGGGCAAACACTGCATAATTGCAAAGAATGATAGTCCACAAAGGTGAGGCCATTATAATGCAGAAAGCTCTAAAAATGCCTCACATTATTAATATTATCATCATTAGCACATTTTCCTCAGGGAAGGTTCTTGAATGAGTTCTTAATTACTTTTCTACTATATATAAATCACTGCAACATTTAGTGGCTTAAAAATAACAAACATTTATCACTGCAGAGTACCTGTAGATCAGGGGTTCAGGGGAGACTGAACTGTGTGATTCTGGTGTAAGTTCTCTCATGAGGTGGCAGTCAAAACGTCCTCTAGGACTGAGGATCCTTTTCTAAGATGGCATCCTCATGAGGCAGTCTCAGTTCTTTGATGGCTAATGACAGGAGGTCTCGGATCCTAACTACATGAGCCTCTCTACAGAGCTGCTTGAATGGCCTAACAACATGTTAACTGGTTTCCTCCAGAGAGAATAATCCTAGAAAAAGTGAGAACAACATAGAAGTGGCAATGTTGTTTTATAAAGTAAATTTGATAGTTATTCTCCATCATTTCTACCACGTTCTATTTGCTAGAAGCCAGTACTTAAGTAGAGCTAGGGAATTAGGTGTCACCCAGTTTTTGGACATGTATTAAAACTATCACAAGCAATTTTTTTCACAGAATTGGCTAAAACTAATTTCCATTGACATTATTTTTATTCATTTTTATATTATGTCATAGAATCTATTCATATTTGAAGCCAAATTGCCATACATCCTCCAGAGATTTTTATTTACTTAGACAAAATCTTTCAGCAGTGAAAGGGGAGATAAGATGCACTGCATAACATTTTATCACCAAAGAAAAATATTATAACTATAATAAATGATATATTTATCCTTTTGTTCATACACCTGAATCCTACAGTACAGAGGTTAACAGACATCATTGCCTGACTATCCTATTGGTGTGGTAGGAGGTAAGAGAAAAGATATTTTGTGATTCAAGGCACTTTTCTGAGAGTGCAGAAGTTTTCTAAGTACACAAACTTAAATGTATTTGGTGACCAAAGAGGCAATATAAGTGGTGAAGACTATGACGAGTGGTGAGCCCCTCAGTGACAAGCAAATTCAATTTTCAAAATAACAGCAACACCAGTACCAAGAGAGGCAAACAAAACACTTCCAAGCATCCAAATTGGATCTCAACTGCCAGCTTGCTCTTTCTGTCTATATGGTCTGACTTATCTTTGGAAATTCTGTTTCTGAATTCATTTGTTTTGCGCCAAAGAACTTGATCTAATACAACTTCTCCATTTCACAGACAGGAATCTGAAACAGGGTACTTTTGGTTTTGGGTCCCTACCTCCATAAACAATTATTAAAAATTACTTTTGAGGTCATACATAAAACAAATTAGACTAAGATTAAGAAACTTGACTCAAAGATTATTGCAAACATAGGAAAAGAACTATTGCAATAGGGTATGAAAAGGCTATCACAAAAGGGAGAAACTCTGACACGAAGTTCTCTGCAAGCCTTTCAAAATTAGGTGGTAAAGTTCTCGGAGAAAGTAAACAGGACAGGCAGGACATGGGGAAGTTGGGTGAGCTACACTGGCATTGTCTTCCAGAGAAAAGAGAAAATTTTGAGATTAGCCTACCTCCAGGTAGACTATTAAGGAGGGTTATGTGCTGGCCCCAGGCTGAGGATAGGCCAAAGTTCAAGGCCTAACTAAAGTTTGCTCCAGTTAAAGTAGTAGGTATTTTGTCAGGTTGGTGGGTGAGCACAACTGATCAGCTAGTCATTATGATGCAAAGAGTGGGGATTTCTTGTTTAAATCATTTGGGAAGGATGACTCCTTGCAGCAAGCCGTTTCTGTGTTCCAGAACAAAGGAGTGGGATGGTTTCCTTCACTGTTGATGTTCCTGGGATTGCAGGACCTGGGTAAAGTTTAACATTGTCAATGAACAATGAATTAATATTATAACACTTCCTTCAACCTGCCAGTTGTTGTTGTTTTCCCCCCTTTTCTTTTCCTTTTCATAGACCCTACAGCATGGTTGCTGAGCTGAAATACAGAGACCGCAGGTCCTTAGATCACAAAACTAATTAGGGCAGAGCTCAGACAAGAGGAACCAAGTCTAAGGCTCTCTCCACACCTGCACCTCAATAAAGTCTGGAGAATGCTCTGCCAAAAGTGAGAATGAAGCCTTGGGAATAGAGGCAGGATGAGAATATTAACTTTATTAGATGACCCTACAGATTTCAGAGATAAGGATAAGTGAGGAAAGTAAAAAAAAAAAAACAAAACCCAACTATGGTGCGGGTGCCTTACAGCTGATATCATTCAAGAGTACTTATTATCTGCTTCTTGCCTGGTGTTCCCTGACTTCACTGAGTTTACAGTCAAGCAGGGTGGCCAGTGCAACAGACAATTGCTGTAAGTTGTGATATATGTTAAGACAGAGGAAGAACAGTTCCTTAAGTTTGAAGAGCAGGAACACCTAACCTGCAGGAGGGGAGCTAGTAGATGAACCAAGAATAGAAACTAACCAGGCACGCAGAATGGTAATGGTGAGCCGAGTGTCCTGGTCAGGATGTCACACAGGGCGATCCAGGATATGTGAAGTTTGACTCCACAGGAGACTAAGAACTTGGGCTCTCCTGAGCCAGGGCAAATCATCTCACTTAGTATTTGGGAAGCTGGGTATCAGGGAAAAAGGGGTGGTCAAAATCTCTCCTCACTGCATCCAGGAGTCTTAAATTCCACGATTAGGTTGTCCACAGAGTTTGGAGGGTAAAAATAACTGAGAAACCTGAGGAAAACAAACTGTTCCTCCCAGTTTTTTCAAACCACCCAGTCAGTCCTGGCACTTGGGCCACTCAACCAATTGGGGCCTGGTTTAATGTTGACTTCTGCAAACATTCTAGAAACCTGGACTCACACACCCCCCTGCTGGGAGGATGCAACCTTGGGGGGAACGTCCTCTCACCCCTTAGACTTCCTGGGTCCTGCCAGGGTCGGGGTCGCAGGTCGAGGTCACCTGATTAGCAGGCCCTTCCTTCCCCACCTCAGTTCTTTTGGCAGTCCTGAAGGGCAAGGCCGCGGGCAGGACGGGCCAGTTCCAGCCGCCTCTGACAGCCGGAGAGGGAGGGCGCGGGGCAGGGAACCGAGAGTGAGGCCCCGGGCGGCCGGGGGCGGAGGTGGCCAGAGGGAACCGGGCGGCGCGCGGAGGGGAGGAGCAGAGCCGGGGCGGGAGCGGGGCGGGGAGCGCTGGGGTCTGGAGGGGTTTGGGGCGGGCCCGAGGCGGGTCCCGGCCTTCTAGAAGGGTCGCCAGGCTGTTCCTCCGTCCGGCTGTGAGCCTGCCCGGCCCATGCGGATCCGCCGCCCAGCTTCTCGGGTAAGCGGGCGCCCCTGCGCTCGGGCTCGCGGCCCCCGGCGGGGGTCTCGGCCGCCCGGGCAGGTGCCTCCCGCGCGCGGCTCGGTGGATCCAGAGGGCGGGGAGGGAGGCGAATGCGCTCAGCAGCTGTAACCTTTTTTTTTTTTTTTTGCTCCAACTTCTGGCGTGTGAACAATGCCCTCTTGAAGTCTTTTGCAGATATCGCATCAGTGGTGATAGAAGCTGCGCATGTGACACCCTTGTCGTTTCGGGTCCGGGGTGGCTGGTGAGGGTCTCGTGGTCCTCCCTGTCGTCCTGGGAGGAGTGCTTGCCAGGCGATTTAGGGACCTCCCATTCACTAGAGAGTTTTCTGGGACCCGGAGTTCTACTTGAAAGAGACAGGAGTTGCTTGAGTTACCGGAGTTCAGTCGTCGGGGAAATGATCCGGCGAAGGCCGGCCTGGCTGCCGAGACAGCTGGAGGGCTTTGGGGAGGAGGGAGAGCTTTGCGCAGGGCGCGATCTGGTGAAAAATTTCCCTGCCGCAAGGTGCAGCAGAACAGGCTGATACAACTGCGGACGAGAGCGTTTTGCCATTTGTAAAGTTGAATTAGAGGTAGGAAAATCAAGGGAGCAGGGGCGGGGTGTCTGCATTGGCAAAATTGTGGGAAAATAAGTAACAGGAATGTCCCCACCAGGAACAGAGGCGTTATTCTACCTTCTGCATTCATTAAAGCCTTTTGGTCTACATTTCTGAACAGTTACCTAAAATGCAGACGGGGCATTGCTGTACAATCACATAACTTACTTCTTCCCCCAACCCACCTCGCAGTTTTTTTGCAAAATGAGTTTAAGGTCACCCACTGGAGACTAAATCACCTATTGGTAAAATTTTTAAGTGAAGGGTTTAAAAATTTTGTTTCTTTCTTTCCCTCCTCCCTTGCTGATCCTCCAACACCCAGTGTGTCTCTATCCTCCTTAGTTCTCATACTTACACACCTGGGGACAGGAACACAACCACTTTTGTCCTGCAAGTGGTTGTGGTTAATTTGATGTTGTGACTTGTTCCTTAGCCCTCTTCTAGTCCTGTCAGTATTAAAATGACCACTAGTTTTCTCTGTAAAGAATGTGAAGGGATGTAAAAAATGATAAATGTTAAAATAAAAAAAAGGGAAAAAAAAGTTAAAAAAAAAAAAGAATGTGAAGGGTTGGATGAAAAAAAGAAATTAGTAGTCTAGTAAATTGATTATCTTTTTAAACCAAACAAATTGGGACTTCGTTGAATTCAATATTTTCATTTCTTTTTGGGAAAATACTTTAAATTATTTTATCAATAAAATACCAACTCTCCATGTGTGTTAACACTTGCATTAATAGTCTCTGCCCAATGAAGTGAAAGATTTAGAAATCTAAGGGTCTAGCTTATGAAGGGCAGCTAGAATAGAAGTGTATTTTAGTCTCAAAGTAAGTTCACTTGGAATCATGGCTCAAGGTGTTTCAGAGTTTCAAGAGTGCTGCATTCAGATATCTTGGTGGTTTGACAATTCACTTATTCTGTTACTTAGTATTGTTGCTCACAACATATAGCATCTTAATAGTTGTTATTAGTACATCATAAAGAACAGCTCTTAGGAGAGTCTTGTCCTGAAAATATTAAAATTTTTAGATTAAGTTCTACTTTATATTGAGTTGGAGGCATGGAAATAAGGTAGGGATCAAGGCCAAAAAAAAATCTATACACTAAGTTGGCATTAGAGGAGCTCTGAAGTCCTGGCAAGACCCTTAATTAACTGAAATCTCCTAAGAGCGGCAAATCATCATTTCTAGAGCTAGGCATGGCTGTTATAGATGCATGTCCTTCTAGGTCTGCTCTAACGTCCAGAGCAGTGTCAGAACATGCTGAGCAATGCTCATGCCCCACGTAAGTGAGTTGGTGCAGTGGTTGAGAGCATGAGTCTTGGATGGGCCAGTCTGTTTCTAGCACTGATAGTGGGGGCAAGCAATTTATGGTCCCCAAGTCTCATATTCCTCATATTTCAAATAGACATGATACTAATGCATAGGGTCATCATGAAGATCAAATAAGGTGATATAGATAAGCTGCACAGTGTCTACAACTTTATAATCAATAAATGGTAGTGATTTTTTTTAAACATTGATTTCCCTCCTATTTTTCTTTTAACAAGACAAAATTTAATCCAGAAAAATGTAAAGGTCCATGCATAGGTGCTTAAAAACTAAGCAAGTACAAGATGAGGGAATTGTAATTAGTTAAACTAATCTACCTCATGATTGACTATATCTCCTCTGAATCAGCAGTGACTTGTAAGCACCCAGAAAGCTGATATGATTGTAGGCTGGTTTAGTACAAATTAGAATGATGTCTACAAGCCAGGATCTTTTCCCACATCTGCATTATGCTCTTTGTGCAGTGTTCAGAGTTATTCTCAGATGATGGCTTATAAACTCTCTTGTCTAGGGAAAGAAAGGAGAAAAGAGGCAACTCTTATAACACAGTCATTCATAACTAAAACATTAGCTCTCTTATTTCCCCCTCAATATTTTCTCACCTCTTTTTTGTACGTAAAACTCCCTGCCAGTAGAATGAAAAGTATTCTCTTTATGACTTCCCAGCACTCACAGTATAGTTCCAGTAACATGCAGAAATAACTCAAAGAAAGAGATAGTACTCTGACAAAAGTAGAAAAAGGCATGCTGGGCCATGAAATGCTAAATATCAACCAAGAGAGGCTCAAGTTTAGTTCCAGGTTTCAAGTTTCCAGTTTTGTAAGAATTTACAGGGTTGAAAAGCTGAGAAAAAGCATTCCAAGCCAAGGGAAAAGTTAGGGTAAAGTATGCTAGCGTGAGTAGTGATAAAGGCAAATCGGGGTCAGGACATTGGTAAATTATTTTACCTCCCTGAATTCAGTTTCCTTAAATAGGAGAAAAGGATCATAGATTATTATGGATGATTTGCTACTGATTAAATCTTCAGATCTACCCTTACACCTCACAAAATTATTGGAAGACTTAGTTGCACATAGATTAGGCTGCTTGCTGCACAGAGGACAATTTGCGTGGTTCTTTCCGCTTCTCTTATTCTCTCGATCAGAGATAACACAATCCTGCGGCAATCCAGCCTGAGCATAGATGCATATTATGAAAAGCAGATCAAGAAATGTCGTAACTCTTAGAATAAGGTATGAAGTTATAGTGTATCTACTGCCACCACCCCAGTTCCCCAACCACTACAGGCTTTCCTTTGCTCAAGGCTGTGTTGTTTCAGAGTCTGGCTCTGTAAGATAGGAAATCACCTGCATGGCCCATTCTAAGTCTGCAAAGTTAGTATTCTACATTTGCATGATAGGATCTCAGACTATTTTAGGCCCTGTTACTTGCTTAGGTCATTGTTTTGACCTGAGTATTAAAGTGAGTCCATTTTTTTTTGTGGAGCGGGGATATTATTGAAAACTGGTTAGTTACTCTGGAGTACCAAAATGCAAATGGATTATTTTGGGAGGAATTTGTTATAGGCTTTTACTCTCTTGTGATTTTTCTTTGGTATTGTTAGCTCATATTTAAATTTGCAAGACCTTCCCTTTACATTACAGCTTGGTCAAGTTTGAATTATCTGTCTTGCAAATATTGTACAAATTTGCTGAAAAATCAAATATTTTGAATTTTTCCCCTTAGGCCTTTCCCTGCATAGATTTCAAAAGAATGATTTCCTGTAGTTTTGTTGCAAAGTCCTACAGAGTCCAGAAAATTTCTACTTGCTATTTAGACCATTAAAGAATTAAACTACTTAAAGGTTTTGGTCATGATCAGGGAAAAACTAACGGGAGACCAGGCCAACCTGTTTGCCATGGACGGCCTAGATGAGATTAAGTATTAACATTTTTACTAGACCTAGTCTGAGAAATAACTTTTAGAGGGAATTGTTCTATTTATTTATTTATTTTGCAGAGAAGACCTGGGGTATAGGCCAGAGGTGTGGTAGGGGGCAGGATTCACCAGAGACAGAGTGAGGAGTGGCACAGGTGGATTTACTGAAATAAGGGAAGCAGCAGGCAAGACAGGAGAGGTCTGCTGTGCTATATCCGGGTTAGCTCCCCAGCCAGGGATCCAACTCAGGCCATAGCAGTGATAGTGCTGGGACTTAACTTTTAGGCCATCAGGGAGACCCCTGAAGGAATTGTTCTTTTTCATCATTCAGTCGTGACTATTGCTTTAATTTCATCAATTAACTTGAATATTTCATTAATTATTCCGTGCATAGGGGATGATGAAATTGATTCAAGTCCATGGCTAAGAATGTCTTATGTTTCATGTTCAGATTCCTGAACACTACACTTGAAGTTCTGATTGATTATATCCAGGCTGAGGTCCAGAAATCTGCTTTTCACTGAGCTTAGAAGGTGATTCTGATGCTGATGATCACTTTCTTCTTTTGTAACCACTGCTTTTCCAGCATTTGTGTACATGTTTTATAGACTCTTTGGAGAACAGTGTGATATGTCTAAACAAACCCAAATACAAGTCCTCTCCTCACTTTTAACCAAGTCGACTTACCTTTCTCTTGTGGTTTTTAATCCATGAAATAGGGACTTGGACCAGATCTATAAATCTCCATGCTGTTGTTTAACTTGATGCCTCTCTCTCTTTTGTATATACCATCCAGATTAGTTTAAGCAAAGTCTTTGAGCATATTCAGATTAAGGTCCTTCTGTGAAGAAATGGAATGTTGAGTGAGATCTAACCAAAGTACTGTGAAATACTTAGATGCCTTTAGGTTTCACACCACCCACTTTCTTTATTACCAAATACTTAGGTTAAGAATTATAATGGATGGATGATTTCAAGGCTATGGACATGAGAAGATTTCTTCTATAGAGACCTAATTAGATATGAAGCTACGTTCATTTTGTAAACAATGGATATAAATTACCAGCTGAATATTTCAGTAACAGATCTTCCCTTGAGAAGCCTTCCTTGATCTGCTCTCCAGGCAGAGTCAGTGCAGC